ACACTGTGTTTTACAGGGTTTGGGGGCCCTCGGCGGCCGAGAATTTCATCTGGGCGATGTCAAAAAACCTAGGTTTTTTCATGGTTTTTGCTTTGCGGGAAGGAAAAAATCACCAAAAGTTGTATCGGAAGATTTTTTCAACATAAATCGCCTAACATATCCCCAACATAGGCCCAAGATAGCCAACATATCCCCAACATATGCCCAACATAGCCTCCAAGATGGCTCAACATAGGGCCAACATAGGCCAACTAGGGGCCAACAGACGCCAACATAGGCCCAACATAGGCCCAACCGAGGCCAACATAGGGTTAACGCGCTCAACCGTAGGATCAATATGGGCCAGGTCTTCGTCGTTGAGTCATGCGCATCAGGCAAGTGCGACAAAGCGGGACGCGACACCGCGGGCACAGCGTGCTGGACTGCAGGGTGCACTTCACGCAGCGTATATCTTCTGGGCAGCACAAAATGTTCGAACCGTCGGGCAACTGCCGAACCCACTGCTTGTGTTCCAGGCGCTGTTGGATAGCTGGAATGTTCGCGTACCTGCTGGCATAGGTGGCGTAACACCAGTTCGCTCGAAAGCTGTCCTCGGTGAGGTTGGAGAACAAGTCCGAGACGGTCTGAAATCCAGTTTCTCCGTGGTTGGCGGCCACGTGGATGCGTGCGCAGCATGCGCAAATCAACCCTTCCATGTGTTGCTCTGTGACTTCTCGTGCCAAGCGGTGAAATGTCCGTCTGTCTGTGCTCCATCCCACCCGTGGCACTTGTTGCTTCTCTGTCAGGGCTACAGCGGCAAGGTAGTCGGACAGCAACTCACTGGGGCGCGCCTCCGCAAACAAATCTTTGTGCGCAGTGCTGAGATGCGCGCGCAAACACGTCCTGGCATTGCCACAGCAGGTCTGTGGACGTTCGGTCCAGCGCTGTTGCTGCACTTGCATCACCCGTGCGTGCGTCCAATTGGGTTGGCAAGGGTCTTCTTTCGAACACCAGACACAACCTTGGATGGCACAGTGCACATTGGGAAATAAGATCCCCGAAGCGTGGTCGGCTTCTTGCACGTCGAATCCTGGCAATTTGGGAGGCAGCAGGGGGTGGTTTTTTAAGGCTGCAGCTAGGTTTCGAATCCGTTCCAAATACCGTGCCCCTTGCACGGAGTCGCGGGCTGGCACCACGCCCACTTCCACCTCCACGTCCCCTCCATGGGTCTCTTCCCCGCCGTCCAAGACCCATTGCATGAACTGGTCGAGGATGTTCGTGCCATCCTTCTTGCCAGCCTTCACAATGCTGCCCCCCACTAACAATGCTCGCAACCGTCTCAACGCCCCCACACTTGCGAAAATCCATCGCAGCGTCTCCCAACTTTTGCCCGGGCAACCAACCGTAGCCCGTCGAATCCACCAACACCACCGTGAGCGACGCTCTCGGTATGTCAGCTGCGCGCACCGCGGCGCCGCCGGTCTCCATGGCTGCAGCCGCCCCAGAGCAGCGACACAAAAAAAAAAGATTCGGGTGTGCTTGGTTGCTTCTGGTGTCATGGCGTGAGAGCTTTGTTGCTCTGCTTTGCACGTGCTCCTGCCCTACTCACACGCCCCCCCGCTGAAACCGAACACAAAGTGCAAAAAAAAAAACGATCCCCGTTAAAACAAAGGGGGAGAGGTTGGGGCGAACCGTTTGTAACGGGACCAAGTTTGGGGTCTACAAAAAGCTCTGACCCAAGCTGGTTTGCCCTCTACAAAATGGCATGTACTACAAAATGATGCTGCCTCAAGATTGCTATCTTATGCTTACAGGCGCATAGCCATCCATACAGCAAGGTGATTTCTCTACAAAAAATGGTCTTCGATAGGTGCCAAAAACTGCCTCGTTACAAAATAGCCCCTTTGCAAGGGCCTCCAGCTCTCCCTTTTTGTAGAGGACATTTCAACGGGGATAAAAAAGGTCAGGTGTGCTTGGTTGCTGTTGCTCTCCAACCCTAGCCGTCTCCTAGCTTCTCTTGCACTCTACTCTTGGCTATCCTATCGCTCTGGGAGTTCAGCGCTGGTTGCTTCTGGTGTCTTTGGGTTGGAGGCTGTTTCTCGCTTGCACATGCTCTTGCTCTGTTCACAGGCTCGCCTGTCGTTGAGCCCACGTCTCGCCAGTCTCTGTATCTTTCCCCTTTCCGGTGTCGACTGTTTGTCCCCTTTCCGGTGTCGACTGTTTCTTGCTAACTACTCTCTGTGGCATGCTGTCTAAGTCCTTTGCCACCCTGCGTCTCCGACTTGCGGCGTCGACGCCTCAACCCCCAACCTCTCCACCCCCGCCGGCCTCGCTGGCGCATCAACTTGCAGACAATGTCCTTGAGGCTGGAACGACGTCTGCCTGTCCTCACCAGGGCTGTGGCTGGCTGGCGTGAGCGACGCACTTGTTGCCAGCTGACAGCTGCCGCCTCCCAGCGTGCATCGCGCTCCATGTGCCTCCTCTCTCTCCGACGGCTCTCCCGACTTTTGGTTGCTGCAAGCAACCAGGGCAGTCAGCCCCCGTCCCTCGGACGGGTGCTGCCGGGGTGCCCCAAACCCCGGCCCCCGTCTTCTCCGTGGAAGACTCCATGGAAACGTGGCGGGTCCCTCACCGAAACCACACCCCGCAAACACCGCGAGCGACACCAACCGCCTCGACCCAGAACTCTCTTACCCAAGTGCGCCGGCGCCCGGCTGTCAGGCGTAAGCCTTTAAATCCGGGCGCCGGCCACGAAGCCCGTGCCCTGCCCGGAGGGCCTTCGGTGGTAACCGAAGGTTATAGACGGTCGCGCCGGCTGCCGCCGACCCTCGGTCCCAAAACGGGGGGACGACCGGTCAACTGAAGCCCCTGTAATTTACAGTGTATCGTGTGTGTGAGGTATAAAAAACACTGTGTTTTACAGGGTTTATTGCGCATATCGAAGTACGACGCGGGGAAGAGGGAAAAATGCAAAAATGCTGTGTTTTTCAAGGGTGGTGTCGGTAATGCGGGCCGGGCGGACAGGCTTAATCGACATTTTGTGGGTAGAGGCCCTCCAGACGATTTACATTTCCTAACATATCCCCAACATAGGCCCAAGATAGCCATCATATCCCCAACATATGCCCAACATAGCCTCCAAGATGGCTCAACATTGGCCTAACATAGGCCCAACATAGGCCCAACCTAGGCCAACATAGGCCAACATAGGCCTAGCATAGGCCAACATAGGCTCAACATAGGCTCAACATGGGCCCAAGATGTGCCCAACATACAACTTGGCCCAACCTAGGGCCAAGATGCGCACCAGATAGCTTCACTTTGCTCAATATAGGCCCCAGCAAGGCCAACATAGGCGCGCCATGCTCCCCACAGACCCAAGTGGCCGGCGCCCGGCTGTCAGGCGTAAGCCTTTAAATATATATAACGCCTGCAAATCCACTGGACCACTGGAGTTGACTGGGATTTACACCATGGGGTTGTTCCGGATTCCATCCCTGGCCTCTTTTGCTGGACCACTGCTGACCGGTCAGAGCTGGACTCGCTCGCCTGAGCCGAAGCCTTACCTTTGCTCTTCTTCAAAGAGGTCTTTCGTACCTCGCGGGAGCGAAGGTCCCGGCCACGTGGACGCCGCCGACTGTCGACCGTCGACGTCCGGCGCAGTGCGCGGTCTGACTCACCGGTCACACGAAGCACCGAGACACTGTACCCCCACGGACCCCGAATGCTGGAGACGTCCCCAAAATGATGATGCGGGCGTCGTCGTTCAAACACCAACATCTCCGGTCAGTAGAGAGACTGATTAATGGATTAAGGGCCAACCGAAGGAAGAGGCTCCGTTCGGCCCACCTCCGGCAATCGGTTCGGTGGGACCGGCTCCTCCCGGTCCGACTCCTTCCGGTCCGGCCGTCTCGGTCTTTTGCGGCCGCCCGTCTCGGTCGCTCGTCCGAGTCCCACGGAGGGTCGGAACGAGCCGGTGGCGGGCCATGGTGCGATTTGCCGAACAAGAGCACAAACAAACAGGAGCATGCATGACGTTGGTTATTTTAGTACCTATTATATAATAGTTATTGTAGTATACAGAAAACAGAATCAGGACAATTGTTGGGCCAAATGCCCCTTCCCTCTTCTATTAAGAGTTGGCTCTTTCTCCATGAGTTTCGTGTTTATTTCTTGTGATTTGGTGGATTATATAATGTTGCTCTTTGTACTTCTCGCAGGCGCCATGTCCGGTTAGAGAGACAATTGCGAAGCCCACGTGGACCACCACAGACCGGTTGGAGAGCGCTCTGGAGCTTGCGCTCCTCTGTGGGTACTGGTATGGCACATATTGTTTTTCAGAAAACACACGAGCAAGAACATCAATCAACATGTCTCCTAAGGTCTCAGTAATATAGAACACATGGTAAAAGAGTCTCTGGGGCAACAGACAGGTGGCTCGCGGATTGCAATGCAAAGAGATGCAGCACTTGATCCAAATGGGAAATACAAGTTCTGCAAGTTTGGAAGTGTTAATCCCACTCAAACATGTACCCGCCGTGGTACTGCTTCATGCAAGATGAGGCTTGATAGGGTCAAACAGTCTCTCTTGCCACTTGACAACATCATTGTGACCTATTCCCTATCGAACTTTGTTGCTTTCGGAACGGCAAATCAGAATCCTACGGTGCTGCGATTCACAGCGGGCTACAAGAGAGAAGAGCTGAGCTACGTTGTGACCTTCATGATGGGCTACAAAGACACAGACACACAAAGACGTGCATCTAGGGCGCTACTAGGGGCTCCTAGCATCGCTACTAGGAGCAAGGACGCTACTAGGGGCTCCTGGCTTTACTATACTAGGAGCTTTAGGAGATCGCACGTCTTGAAGGAGCAAGTAGTCCAGCTTAATTAGTCCAGTCCCAGACACTCCATGTATGCCATATATGCCTACATTGACCCCTCAAACCACCCCAATGTAGGCATATATGGCATACATGGAGTGTCTGGGTTATGTTTTTGACACCTTCGTTAAATCTTTCGACTGTCTGGCAGTAGCTCTTCAGTCTTCTTCTATTTCTCTACGATCGAGTCGACAAAATGCAGGGCAAACCCTCACTGCTCGTCTTCTTCTTCTTCATCTTCTCCCAAATCTTCTGGCCACTCAAAGGTGGAGAGGTGCTTTCGCGCCGCACCTGCCCCGATTGACCCGTCACGCGTCACGCGTCACGCCGGCTTGCGACGCGTCCACGTTGCGTTCGGACGTTGCGTTCGGCGGAGCGTTCCGCGGAGCGTTCGGTCGCTTTTGGAAGCGTTCGGCCGCCTGAGGAGTTACCAGGGAGGTCATTCTTATAGCCATTTAGGTCGCCAGGAGTGGCCATGTCGTGTTTCAGACCCAAAGCGAGAACGAACCACGCCACGCGACGCCACGTGGCCGCGGCCGTGACCAGACACCACGGGACCCATGCTGCAGGGCTTTCGGTCGTTCCTCTGGAGCGATGGAGGGGGCTCCACCGGAGCCTTGGTGGGAGCCGAAAGGATGCCGAAAGGATGCCTTGAAAACAAGCATGGGTTGGTTTCACTTGCAAATCGTTGGAAATCCGCACCATACTCGTTATGTTCAAACTCTGGCAAACTACTACTCGCTTCACACATACAGCAAATTTCTCGCGGGTAGTACAACCTAGTATACTATCTATTTTCCACCTAATAACCACCCAAACTGGGTGGTGCTGGATTACCATGGTCATTTCGGTGATCCCATCTTGTCTTCCGCCGATGGATGGCTTGAACCGAACTCGCTCGGCCTGTGACCTCCTCATCGATGGAGCGATTCGCTGCCTTTGAGCGAAGCGGTGGAAGGCCATCGAATCAACCCAAACACTCCATGGGACTGGTATATTGACCGCCCGTTTTGAGGGGTGTTTTGAGGGGTCAATGTCGGTATATATGGCAGTCCCATGGAGTTTCTGGGCAATCTGTTTTTTCCAACGTTGCAGGCCATCGCTTCTAGGGTGGAGGCCCATGACTAGTAGGGACAGGCCATCGCAGAACTGGGGCAGCCTCACAACAGTCCCGGGGCCTCGAGGGCAATGAGATGGTGGCAACAAATTCTGAATCCCCCCAGTACCAGGGGCCCCACATGGCCCATCAAAAACCTGATTTTTAAAAAAAAAAACATTGTTTTTGTATGTGAAAACCTTTTGTTTTTCATGGTTTGCTGACCAGGCCCCTGGTACATTCCATGATTTGGTGTGATTCCAGGCGCAAGAGCCCCTGGCATGATGAATAAACATGCACCACGTCGACTCTCTCAAGTCGCTAAGCTGAATGGTTTTTTCAAGGACCCCAACAGGAACGTCCTTTACTTGCATGAGGCAAGGGTATGTATATAATTGATTGTATTAATATGTACTTCAGCCTAATTGGACTTCTTTCGGGCTTTAGGGTAATCATGTTAGCTGTCATAGTCTTTGGACTTCCAGGGTGCTCCCTACTGCTCTCAATGCGGCTCCAGTTCCGCTCCGCCCGCCTCGATCTTATCCAGTCGGATCGGTCGCTGCCTCGGCGTCGGGTTTCGTTCGGTCAGTCGACGACGGACCAAACCTGAGATCAGTCATGACGATACTTACATTGATGTATATCATAGTAATACTCTGTTCTCCTGGGCGGTGACCCGCAGGAGAAAAAAAAAACAACGCCATGGATGAATCTGCACAGATGTTCCGGGTCCATTCACCCCCGTTCTGCTAAGTCCGGTTTCTCCGTCGGCAAGTGCAATTTCTGGAAAAGAATGGAAGGTGGGCCTTCATGTGATCTTCTAAACAAGTCCCTTTGACGTTTGTAAGGTCTTGTCAAACGCCAGTCTCTATGTACGGTTCTGGTTTCCATACTCATAGGTGTCTGCGCCGGATCATCGCAATGGGACCCCAAGCAAAGCCTCCGCAGCCAAACAAGAAGGCACACAGGAGAATACACATGCATGAAAACTTTAGTTGCTTAGGTCTGTCAGAAGTGCCAACAACAATGTTCAAATGATTCCGAACCCACCCACCCCCCACATGTCTTGACAACTCTCCTCACCATCTCATCCCCTTCGTCCTCCCAAAGGATGATCCCATCTCTCCGTCCTCCGCGCTCCGTCTGCGCGCCGCAAGGAGGACGCTGGGCCCCGGCTTGAGGAAGTCCGTCATCCGCTGCACCAGCTCCATGGGAAACGAGGACAAGTCCCGCGACTCGATCGCTTCCTCCGGTCGACTCGATCGGAGCGCGGAGGAGCAGAAACGTCCGGTACGAGCAGCGGCTGACCGGTACGAGCAGCGGCGAGCAAGCGGTTTCACCCGTTGAGGGCCCCTTGAGACTGGGCACCGCACCGGGGGACACGGGCCCTTCGCGGAAAACCCTGTTTGATCGAGCGCAGCGAGGGGAATTGCTTGCTGGTGACCTGCGTGGCGTGTCTTCTCTTGCGAGAGGTCGTTAAGGTCACTGTTCGCTTCTGCAGTGACATCAACGCTTGGAAAGGAAGGACATCAAAGTTTCGAACTGTCGTTGGCACCAGCGAAACTTCGAAATCACCGACCATCATCACAACCAAAGGGGCCCACTTGCATCCACTTCACATGCTGCCATGCTGCACCTTCCAGGTTTCATTCTCGAACCAAATTCAACATCAGCAGACCTCCCGTCCCAAAGCGCCGGGCGCTCCTTGCGCTCGTTGGTCCCCCCGCGTTACAAGGTCCGGCCCGGTGTTCCAAGATCTTCCACGTCAGACGCATCAGACGCAACACGTTTTCACTCAACTCCTTTTCTTCACGCCCTGGGTGTCCGGTCGCTCCTGCGAAAGCGGAACACCGCTTTGAAGACCTGGGAATCTCCTGGACTAGCTCCACACCTACGAATCTTCTCCAGCCAGGAAAATCATCTACTGCTCCAAAAGGAGTTCTCTTGAACGGTGCTGTTTTGGTAGCTGGTATTAGGTGGTGTAAAGCCACCGTTCATAAAATTTGGTATAAGACATATTAGATCATCTATACCCAGACACTCCATGGGACTGGTATATTGACCGCCCCATGTAGGGGTGTTTTGAGGGGTCAATGTAGGCATATATGGCAGTCCCATGGAGTTTCTGGGTATAGGTTCTCTTTGCCGGTTTACGTCAAACAAACCCCACACGGCGCCGATCCACAAGACCCTCGCCGTCGGGGGAAATCCGTCATGAAACGGCCCCGATCTCGGCTCCGGCCTTGAACTGCGGCATCACCTGGCAGAGTTCAAAGGGGACGGGCCGAAGAGTCCGGGAGGTTCACCCTCATGGGGTTTTCCAGAGCAAAACCCACACGACAACAGCTAGTCCGCATTGGAGTCCCTGTCGGGAGACGTGGTGTTCAAGTACCGAACCCGACCCCAGTTCGGTACAGCGGACGGATGACTCATGGCACCGACCAGAGTGTCGAACACATCACCGAAGCTGAGGTTCGGTACGACTGGATCCCATAGGGATTTGTATTGGCTTGATCCATCTTTATCCTATGACCTGGGCCCAGATGATGGTTAGGCTAAACGGCCTTTCTCTAAAATATGGTCATTGATGATAATTGTTTACCAACTGTTACAGGCAATAGGACAGACCCAACGTTTATAATATAAGTTGAATGGTTCCAAGCGCAAGGAATTGTGTGGAGCGTCCTCAAAAAGATCCTTCTATGTGGCGTCGGTGCAGAAACACAAATCATCAACACGAAAACGTGAGCCAAACTGGCTTGGCTTGTGCCAAATTTAGGTAAATATACTACTGTCTGGCCACAGTGCCAGCAAAGGAATTTTCAAGAGCAACCAAAGCAGCCGCTAAACATCAGCAAGTATGCAGTATGCATGGCTTCAACTTGTCAACTCCCAATTCCGCAAGAGTTTCGCAAGAGCTTTATCTTGGCGGAGCAACACTGACTTGGAACAACCGAAACAGCTTGTTCACAGCCAAAGAAGACAACTATAGAGAGATTCATCAAATATGCTCAGTTGGCTGCAAACAGGTCTTCACCAGCCTACACAAACAACACCAACGGCATCCAACGGCCATAATCTCCTAGTGTTACGCTATCCAAGCAACGCGACATGTTTGTCACCCTCCACCCAAAACGACTGCGCATAGCAGTGGTCCCGGCTGTCCAAATGGCTGTCCCTGCTCGTCCCGGTGGCACTGACAGACCGTGTCAGACAGCTCGTCCCGGTGGGTGGTTTCCCCTCCCGGCGATGTCCCATGTTCCGGACATCTGTCGAAATCGGTCATCGCACCTTGGATCTTAAGAAGAGGAGCTCCTTGATCCAGGGACCGGCTTGAATGTAGGCGTACCACTTGTCGAAGCGGATCTGTCCGCGGAAGGCGGCGTGGCCGCGGAAAGAGGCGTGCCGCGGCGTGTTGCCGGGAGTGAGGCGGCGTGGTGTGAGGCGGGTTTTGGTGGAGACTGAAGAGATAAAATCAAATAAAACATGTCACAAGGCCATGCACCTGCATTCTTGGGGAAGCGAAGGGAAGCTGCACATTGTAGCTCTTGTGTGCCACCAGTGGCAGTTTATGAGCAGTATATATAACAGTAGTTGCAGGTATTTAGTACGTAGTTGTCGTAGTAGAGGTCGCTGCTCTTTGTTCTTTAGGAACCAAAGAACAAAGAGTTCTTCTGGATGAGCGATGTGTGGAGCGGTCACTGCGTCATCGGGATGGTCCACTCATAAGTTACATCTGGATGGGTCTGAACCTATAGAGTCAGGTGCACATGTGTGATGTATATATGGAAAAAGTATCAGAAACTGAGTTCTTCACCTTGAAGTCCCCTCTTTGTGTTTCTATTTTCCCTTCAAAATAGCAATATCCACACAGAAATATGATGTTCATCAATGATTCTCGTACGGGTGGCTGCTAGGTAAGTTTGGGAAGAGTATGGGAAGAGTATTCTCATACATTGTGGTTCAAAATCCCTGCATATGCCTCCAATGCCAACCATTTGGATTCCTTTATGTTGAATGTCTACCAGCACCTTCAAAGGGGTCACCAATGGAAGCCCCTACACTACCTAGGGATCTCCATTGGACACCCCTTTGAAGGTCCAGGTATGTGTCACTCTTCAACAAGCAAGCCTCCCCAAAATACTACAGTTCGAGTTGCATCGCAAAACCCCTCACGGTCCAGCCTCACCCTTCTTCTCGTCAATCATCACAGCGTTGGCGAAGAGCAAGACGAAGGGGGAGAAAACCAAGGAGGAGTCCATGATGCTGTTAAATCTGGCAACACACGCTGTATCGGAAAAAAAAAACATGAACAGAAGCGGAACGCGCGAACGCGGATGGTCGTCCGATGGTCCGATCTTCGGGGCTCGGGGTCCGAAAAAAAAAGAAAGCATAAGAATCAGAAGAGTTGAGAGATGATGCTCTTCAATCTGCCGACATTTGAGA